TCATGTTGAAGGTTCTTCAACAAGAATTATGACGAACTTAAAAAAAGTGGTTCGTGATTAGAAACTATGCTCTCGGACAGTCAGTAAGGTGAAATGGCGAAGCATTTGATCATTTATGTGGAATGAAGATCTAGGAATTAAGTCTCACGTACCTCTTGATTGTCCTGCTGCTGGAGATTGACTGGGTCACGGCTGGCTCACAGTCCTCTTGAAGCAGCAACTGCCCGGCTCGAGCTGTTGTCATGGTGACAAAATCATTCCTCGAAGGAAAACTTATGATTTCATAATGCCTTTAACTTTTAATAACTTTTATTGTTTGATACAAATCTTAATCTTTATATATATATATATATATATATATATATATATATATATATATATATATATATATATATATATATATATATATATAAATACTTGTGTCGGAAATATGTACTGAATAAACTCGTTTTTACATTTAACTGCTTTTCAAAGCAGTTTTTTATAATCGCGGGATTTCCTACAGGACCCTGAACGCCTCTTAACTGTTTCAGTTTGTTCTCCGTGAAGGTAAGTCATAAATCTGCTTTTCTTCTTCTGTTTATCCGGTGTATCCACCTGTGGAAGGTTTGGTGTTTTTCTCTGTTGGTAATGTGACAAGAGACACGATTTATATCATGGCAGAATACGTTTAATAGATTTTTGTTTGAATAAAAGGTATTTAGATCTGCAGTTGGATCAACCGTTAGCTTCCCTTGTAGTTTAACGCAGCTAACTTCATGTGTGCTGTTTAAACTTAATCAAAAGTTGTTTCGCTTAATGAGAAATGGTGTCAGATGTTTTTAACATTCTAGTTTTTTCTGTTTGAAGTTAAATGTGTAGTCGGTTCAGCCCAAAAGCTACTAACGGCTCCAACAGCTAATGCTAGTGTTGGATTCAGACAGAAAACCGTCGATTCTGCTACACTAAAATATTATTTCTTTCTTTCTGTAAAGTGTAGAAACACGCATAGATTAATGAGGAAACCCCCAAATGAGTAAAATCAGCTCATTTTAAGCAGTGACTGTAAGGTTCATATTTGACATTACATCGCTGCAGTACTTTTATTTAGAAAATTACCAGTGCTTTTACATTAAAACCGTGTGTGATTTCCTGTCTAGCCCTATGTTAACTGCGGAAATCAACGTGTCGCAGAAGTGGCTCTCGGCAAAATTATAACCCGATCCTATCTTTAGCGGAGCGGTGTGCGGGTTTCGGTACGGGATCTGCTCGGGTACAGGATCGGCTCGGGGTCCTTCGACTGCCGATGACGTCAACGTGGTTGATTGGCTGAACATGAAGCTTACGGAAGTGACGTAATCACGTTATGATGATATAGTCTTAGCGGTTGTAGTCCTGTAGTCCAAAAATCAACACGTTTTGGAGAAAATATGTTTGAATTTCTAAAGGAAATGTAAAATATAAGCAATTGATAAACGGTGACCCTCAAAATCTCTTGAAGTTGATGAAATGGGGCAAAATAAAATATAATAACTTTATTGAAAGACACCAAGCAACATTTAGAGTCAAAGAATGTATTTAGATAACAACTAAGGAAATATACAGACGAACTCCACATTAATACAAACAGATATGGCTTCACATATAAGAACTGTCCTATTGTTTGTCAGTCCGATGTTGGTTTTATGCAGTTTCACATTCTTTACAAAACAAAGATAATATGGTGTTTTATTAACAAATTACAATTATAAAGAAAACATTTAGGTGTTAACAAACAAGAATTTATTAACAACACTGCTGACGTCTTTCCAAAACGTATGTGTGAAAGCCGAGTAGAGTTGCAGTCATGTGAAGTCATCGGCAGTCGAAGGACCCCGAGCTGATCCTGTACCGACACTGGCTTCCTCAATGATCCAACACAAGATGAATGCAGTAGTATATCACTGCAGAATCTAACCCTAACCCAGGCAAAAAAGGGTTTGGGGTATTTCTTATGAAGAAATTACAATATCACATGGTACAATGTTCCAAAAAGTAGATTTTTTTAATGATCTGAACATTTACAAAAACTGTTCAATCAATGAACCTCTGTCCACAGTCTTGCGTTTTATGTGATATTAGTTATAGCTCCCCCTTCAGTTCCAGAACGTAAGTGTTGCATTTTCCAAATATGGAATGAGTCTGACTGGTAGCCCTACAACGCCTCTTTCTTCGTGCTGCAGCCAGGGCCTTCTCGCTACTTGGGCCAGCTCCTCCAGGAGAATCCCAAGGTGTCCCCTGGCCAAACGAGTCCTTCCAGCGTATCCTGGGTCTTCCCTTTGGTCTCCTCCCAGTTCGAGCACAAATGTTTTATTGTTAAAATGTTATAATTAAAACAGTTTTTTCTTTGTCTGGCTTTTATAGATTAACAGATAATGTACAGGTCAAACAGCGCTGAGCAGATAACAGAATATCTAGTGGTAAAATCCAACAATATAAAATCTTATGTAACATGATATGTTTTTGTTTTCTTTTTTAGACTGAGAGCTTTGAGCGTGGTTTGGTGCATCAGCAGGTAAGTTAAGCACACCTGGAGGCTGAAGGGGGAAAATCCATCACGTTTATTCTTTGTGGCCTTAATGTAGCCTTGAGTTTATTGTCTCATCAGTAATTGGGTGGTTGCAGATTCAATAACTCCAGCCATGTTGATCAGATGTGATTAAATTGAATCTACTCATCAGTGCACTGAGTTTAATTCATTGTTCAAATGAAATGTTTACTGTTTAAGAAACGTTTAATGTCTGTTTGATCTCTAGGTGATAATTTACATTTGGAAGTAAAGCACATTTTATATGTTGAAGACAGAATTATACTGGAGACTCATTATTTTCTCTGTTCCACAGAAAGAACGTGATTCCTTCTTCTGTGCTTACAGGTGAGTAAAACATGTTACCTGTGTGAAACTTGGAGCTGTCTTCATTTAATTTTATTGCATAGAAAATAAATGCAGACTCACACATCTGTCTGTCTCTGTCTCAGTGATGGACTGGTTGGTGTTTATATGTAGAAACCAGAACTTTCCAGACTACTAATTGTTGGGTTTCTGTTCTCAGAATATTTCCTGTGTATCCTGTGGTGACTGGTGAGTAAAACATGTTAAATGTATGATGGAGGTTTTTCCAGGTTTTCTACAGAGGTTAAAAACAGCTGTTGTCTGAAGAGTGTCTGCTGATGTGGCAACAGGTAATCAGGGAGACACCGATAGCAGATGTGCAAAACAAGGTAACACAAACACGGTCACTCTTGCCCCTCCCATTGGCCATCATTCCCAGGCCAAGTCTGGCAGATGTGGAACCTGCATTGCCAGAGAAAACAAGAAAGCGCTAAACATTGGTCGCCATTTTCTAGGACCAAACGTCTTTGACTTGGGCTTTTCTTTCAGTCAAGAGCAGGTAGAGGTGCTTAAGTGTATCTAGAGATGCTCCGATCTGATCATGTGATTGGAAATCGAGTCTGATATCGTGATTTTTCAATGGGCCTGAATGAACTCTATCAGAGTTTCTCAGAAAAATTAGTTGTGCAGACTTGCACATGCACCCACATACATAACAGACTCACTGCTCAGTAGAATGAGCAAACATAGAAACTGCAGCAGGCTGGAGGGTTTCCACTCCACCTAGATCACTAGAAGAAAGGGAGGAGAATGTTTCCTTTATGGAGGCAAGCGGCTCTGAGCTGTAACGTTTTCATATCGACCTGTGAGATGACTCTTGTCGTGAGTTGCCACTATGTAAATAAACTTAATTGAATGAATTCTGAGTGGAGGTGTGGTCATGACTCAGCTGGAGTCCAGTGCAGTTCTGTCATTTAACGTCACCTTGTACCTTTTAGCCATCAGCTGTGGCAGATTCAGAATCAATTTAGAGCAGAGTTTTAACCTGGAGATGGACAAATGGCTATGGTTTGAAGATGAATTATGAAATTTTAAGTAAGCGGAGGCTTACAGCTGTGCTTTGTGATAAAGTAGGCCCAAGTCTAAAATGACGCCAGTTATTCATTTATGTTACTAATTACTTGCAGTCAGTCTGATTGTTTAGGTCACCAAGCAGAATTGGGATAGCTAAATAGTAATTTTAAGGATGTTTTACTCACAATGCTAGTTGGATCCATTCACTTACTGTGTTTTATGCTAAGCTAAAGGAGTACAGCCGGGTTGGGAGCATGACTGGGCTGGTTACAAATTGATTTTTTCCTACTTATTGAAATATTAAACAAAAAAATCTGAGAAATATGTCAATAGACAAATTAAAATTTTGGGTGGAATATCCCTTTAAGGAGGACACTATGCTACATGCTTGAAGGATCCCATGTTCCTGAGAAGGCTGTGTGAAGAAAACCTGGCTGCATGTGGGCGGGCCGACCAGTTTGATGTTTGTGTTTAACCAAATGATTTCTTAGCTGTTGTTATTATTAACCATATTTCATCAGCTTCCATAGCTTCAGAGTAGTAGCAGCTCTAGATTTTGAATATGTACACACACACACACACACACACACACACACACACACACACACACACACACACACACACACACACATTGACCCTTTGAATTTATGTCACCTGATCTCATAGGTCCATCATAGCAGAGGGTAACAGTGAATTATGAAAGTATTGAACGATGGGCAAAGTGACGACTGAAGTTGTTTTCTTTACCAGTTTAGTCTGGCTTCTACTTGTTCTAGCCCAGTTCACTTGTGGGAAGGTTTAGTACTAGTGTTCACAATAGTTAAGTGTTAACTAGCTTAAGAACATTAGCTCACGTTCTCCCTGCTGTTGGACACCAATGTAAACAAATTGCCCAGTTTGCCAGAATGCACCCTGCTGGATTTCTAACATTAGGGGACAACCAGGGTTCACCTTACACCGGAGATGATTAAAAACAACTTTAAAAGTCTGGATCCCTACCATTTGTTTTTGTTTTCACTGGCTGGGTCATCGGGTTTAGATGCTACTTTCACACTGGGGCAAGACGCTGAAGCTCATCATGCAAAATAAATGATGTCATTTTCACACGTAATCATTTATTGGAACTATATTACTGGCATATAGTAATTCACTATAGTGAATGGTAATGTATATCCTTCAAAGTGAAATACCGGAGTATCAATACTAAAAAGATATGTAAACATGGCATTTATCATTTCAGGTCCATCTTAGCCAGTCACTGTCTTTCTCATTACATATTTGAATGTTAGCCAAAGGTGCTCTCTGTAAATCCAATAATACTTTGACGACTGCTAGTCTGATTGGCTGCTGTGATTTATTCGTGTCCTCGGTCTCTATCAAAGGCATCAAAACCAGACTAGTTGAATCTAGACCTGTGTCTGTTATAGAGGTGTGAATCTTCACTTGTCTCCCGATTCGATTACGATTATTGGGTCAACGATTCAATTCGATTCGATATCCCGATGCATCACGATGCATCACGATTATTTCATATTGATTTGTTTTCATCGATAAATAGAACATGTCAGATAATTGCTTTTTTTAAAAATCAAAAACGTAATTGATACAACCTGCCAGCCCTCAAAAGCTCTCCATTCACAACAGGTTAGGACAAAACATTTAAACATTTAAGAAGATTTAACAAAGCAAAACATCTGTTTCCTCTTTCAACACCACGCCTCAGGCTGAGAAAACATGCTTTACAAAATCTCACAAAATCTAAAAAAGTACTGAAAACCCACAGGACACAACATAATGTAATAATCAGATACAATAATGGGTTCATATATGAGTGTTTAATGTCTGAGCAGCTCTAGAGTCAGATATTTATGCCACAGTTGAAGGGTGTCAGAAATAACACCAAATGAAATGTTTGACTTAGTTTATTTTATTTGAACCCAGTGGTTCGTTTCTGAAATGTTGGAGAATGAATCAAGTTCTGTTTGATGCAGAAAATAATAAAACACAAAACAAATTCTACACTTCCAATAATATTTAAGATGTGTGTTTTATTCTTCCTGATAATAACACCAGCAGAAGGCTGTGGGCTGGATTAGGATTAAATTACCCAGGTTATGGATCTCCTTCACTAACCAGCTAACTAAAAACCTTTCCACTAACCTGTCCTGTGTGACCCTCATGTCCATGCTGTCTCTGGAGGAGCAGATAGGAGACAAGTCTCCTGTAACTTAAAATGAACCAAAGCTTCCTCCCAGTTTTTTAAAATAGAATTTAACATCAGTTTATCATCATGAAACAAAATAATAAAGTGGAACAAGAACTTCTTTCTTCTATTTCTCTCCTTCTCTGTGTCCCTAAATAAAAGAGACAGACGATCACGCTGCAGCCACCGTCATTGACCCCGCCCCCTCCCCAAGACCGGATCTCCCTACATTACAACAAGCAGTCTGACTGAGCGCTTCCAGGAGAAATAATAATTAAATTATGAAAATAATAATGCGTGTTTGGAGCATCGGTTTGGAGGAGCGTCCTCCGATCCTCTCGTGTGAGCAGTCCCCCCCCCCCCCCCCCCCCTCAGTTGCTGTGCGAGCGAGCGGAGCGCGCCGCACGACAACCCGCTCAATTCACATAATTCACGGCCCAAATCCAACAGAACCGGTCGGGCTGATTCGGTTCCAGTTCGGTCTCAGGTTACAACTCAAGCGCTCAGCCCTGCAGTACTGTACCACATTAAGGCGGAACCACTTGGTAAATGTGGAGGACGCTCACTCTGACAGATTTGGATCTGCGCTGGTGCCGCCATTAAAAAAACAAAACTACATTCCACTATAATCGATTATGGCGTACTCCTCTACGATGCAGAATCGTTTATGTCCGCATCCCGATGCATCGATTATTTAATTATTTTCCTCAGCTCTAGTCTGTTAGTGCAGCCAACCACGCAGCACACTATTACCAGGTTACTGTCACTTCAGCAGAATAAAAGCTAGAAAGACTACAAAGTTGCTTGTTATGACGCTTTGCAGGTGATTACATTTGTGTGAACAGTCTTCCTGCTGTCTGTCGTGCCTAAGAGGGCAGTCCCATGAGCGGCGTGACATCACATGCAAAAGGTCAAAATGCGGGTGTGTGTATTGACCTTTTTCATGTGACGTCATGCCGCTCACGGTACCGCCCCCTTTGCCATGATGGTTGGCAGACGTGTAGACATGTTGGAACTCCTATGAAGTTAGTGAAAATAAGACAGTTTGTAGCCTTTTATCGCTTTTATTTGGTTGATTTCACAGTAAAAAGGTGATCATTTGCAGCGAGGCTAGCTTCACTAATAGACAAGGTTGTAAATTCAACTCGTATTTCTTTGTTACTTTGATGGAGACTGAGGACTGAGATGAACTGCAGCGATTAATAAAATGGACTAGCAGCCCTCCAGTATTCTGGATTTGCAGCAAACAGGTTTTACTGGGTAAGATGAACATTCATATATTTCATGTGGAAGACCGGGACAGGGACAAATGTCGTGTATGGATGGATATTTCATCATGGAGGACATGCGTTATCGTCCACTGTAGTGTAATGTGAGATAATTATTTATAATAACATTGTTCCAATGCAGTACTATGTGTGTTAGACTAGTGTTATTTATTTAGTATGATGAGCGTTGTCTTTAAGTGGTATCTTGTCTCCTCCCGGTGTGAGAGCAGCAGCTGAACCAAGTGACCCTGCCAGCAATAAAAGCTGGTAGGGATGTAAAAGTGTAATGTAACGTGACACTCTGTTTATCACGTGAATCCAGCAGGCTGAATTCTGGAAAAGTCAGCAACTTGTTTACGTCTGTGAACAGCAGCAGGGACAATGTAAACTAACGTTCATCAGCTAGTTAACAATTAAGTTTGCAAACACTGCTCTCTCTGAGCCCCACAGTGTGCTAAACCTTCACACAAATGAACTGGGCATGATCTAGTAGAAACCAGGCAACACTGGTAAAAAAAACAACAAAACAAACTCAGTCGCTACATTTCCTCTCAATTCTCTCCATAGTTCACTGTTGCCCCACCTAAGTGTGCTACTTCTTCTGATAACCAAACTTAGGTTTAACTAGCTGAAGCAAAGCTAAAGATCACAATAAACAACGGCAACAACAAAAACCATTTCAGACGCTACTTTTCACTTTGTTTAGTATTCGTGTCTGTCACTGTTTACATGCTTTTGTCAATCAATATGGTGGATTCACATGATTAGGTGACATAGATGTGTGTGTGTGTGTGTGTGTGTGTGTGTGTGTGTGTGTGTGTGTGTGTGTGTGTGTGTGTGTGTGTGTGTGTGTGTGTGTGTGTGTGTGAAATTTCATTTTCAGTTTCATTTTAAATGTCGTCAAATAGAATATTTGATTAATCGATGGAGGTATCGATAGAATATTGGACAGCTGCAGCCCTAGTTTCCATCTTCTGTCTGCCCCTTCACAAAGAGCCCTGCTTTGGTGATTTGGATCAAATGTGTGAGAGAAAACTAAACCATCAATCAGGCACAAATTGAAAAGCTGTTTGTGTAACATTAATGTTCTTTTTCAGTGACTAAAGGTAAGTAGCTACAGCAAATGGACCCTATTCACCTTATTCCTAGCCTCCTTGATCCATTGTGTTAAATTTGCGACCGACTTCAGGTCGATTGTTTAACACTGAGACCACAGATGTATCGTGCAATCTGCGCTAATCCTCTTTTTATTGGCTTTTAGAGATGACCCTATTTTGGGGTTTAAATAAATAAAGCCCTGACTTTAAACACCTCAATACAGTATTGTAAATAAACATCAAACATTTGCTCATACATAAAGCTAACCATCGTCCACACCGGTATTAAGACAAAAGTTGTCGTCTTGACACCAAACCCCCCCCCCCCTGCATGTGATCTGGCATCAGTTTTGTCCTGAGTGAACTTTGGTCTCACATCGCTGTTTGCCTTGCAGCAATGTTTATTTACAAATGAAGCACAGTTTCTACATGAGTCTGGTGAATAAGGTGAAAAATTCATGATAACAGATTACTGTATCAATCCATGTTTGTTTTATTCTGATGGTGTCAGGTTTGGTTGTGCTTGGTCTTCTCTGACATCTTTGATCACCAAAGCAGGGAACTTAAGAAGGTGGGAGAGAACGTACAGGAGAAGAGTTGTGTGCTTCTCATGGTGCCTGAAGCTGCGTGCACTGTTTGGTTGGCAGTCACTCACTCAAACACATTTGACTCGCTAACAGAGGCTATGTGCCTTCTTGCGTTTAGAGTGACTGCAGAAAACACGTTTGAGTTTTTAAACAGTTAATAGTGAGCGAGCAACAGACTTGTAATACTTACAGAATGCATCAACAGATGTTGACTCGAGTGTCTAACATGTGTTCTTTTGTGTCTTTCAGGTTTTATGTTGTTTGTCGACCTCTACTGAACTATCATTTTGGACTCCTCTATCTTTTGTGCTTCTATCCTGCTCTGCCTTGCCCCATCAGATTCGCTATAGCTGCTGGTGGGGTTTTGAACCAAACTTTTATGGATACAATGTTTTATGGATACAAACTTTTATGGTGACAAACTTTTATGGTGACAAAGTTTTATGGATACAAAGTTTTATGGTGGCAAAGTTTTATGATTTTGTGGTGACAAAGTTTTATGGATACAAACTTTTATGGCTACAAAATATTTTTGGTCTTATGGTTCTGCGAAACCAGCCCTGCTGTGAGATTTGACATTGATAAGAACTACATCTAAAGCAATACGCTTTGGCATTCACTTTGGAAATTTGGCTTTGAATGAATAAAAACAACCAACACACTGGAAACATCTAATTTGAGTAAACTTTAAGATATAATATTTAAACTACTCTTACACATAAAGATAAACTTTTCATAGACTGAATATAATTGGTTTGTTGAGATTTGTCTTGCTTGAGATCAGCTCAAATTTATTGATCTCCAAAAACACAAAATTGTTTGAAAACAGTGCTTGAAATTAAAGTTTTATAATTGATAAATTTATAAACATACATCTAAAAACACACATTTACTGTAAAAGCACTGTTACTAGCTAGTGACCCGCTGGTGCTGACTCTGGACTGACTGCAGGTTTGTACTCAGGTTTGTGTTAAGTAGATATTTGTAACTGAAAAATTAGAAAATAAATACATATAAATAAAGTATTTCTTCTCTTTGTTTAATATTTGGATTTTTGGGAGAAAAAAAGGCCTAATAGCATTGCTTACATATATATAAACATCTAGTACATATTGCTAGCTGTTTCTTTAATATTCATAAACAGTTTTTACATTTATATACAGTTCAAAGTTATCTGTTCCAGTTTCTACATACGTTTCATATATATTTGTTTATAGAGATATCAGTTGTATTTGTTAGTTATTAGGAATTATTTTTGAATTCTACTGGTGCTAAAGTATTTTACAAAGAAAACTATTTGCAAAGGTTTTTTTTGCTTCCTTTGCTAACATTTATTTGACTTAGAAAGATACAAATACTAAAGTCTGTGATTGTGCTTCACAATTTGACCATTGTTAACTCAAATATACAAATTTTATTACATTAGAAAAGTATTCCCTGATCCTGAATCCATTATTTAACTTTTACTGACTACAGGATTAGTTTCACTGGTGATTTGTGAAGAGTGAACAACTTGATAATAACATAAAAACATCTGGACTGAAGACCTGTTGTGGCCGTTTCCTGTCTGAAGTGAATCTACAAGCAGTTGAATCCAGAAACTTGTCACCTGCTGTCCAGCTGTGTTGGTTATAGTCGCTGTTTAAGTGGTTCTTGTGTTTCAAAATAGACGTTGTTGAAACTTTATTTAACTGTGTTAGAAATCAATAGCTACTGCTGATAAAAGCTTAGGTTGGTGTGTAGTTACAGTTTAAAGTCAACGTTTAACAGTTGTTACAGAGTTCAGTTACATTTAAGCATATAGACATAAGTGTATAGATAGGTGTTGATATATAGACCTGGTAAGGATAAGAGTTGTGGAAACTGACAACCATTAGATCTAAACTGGGTGATTTGTGTGCGCTCATTCAGACACATTTAATAGTTTAAAAGATCATCCTTCATATTTGAAATAGTACTTTTAAGGTTTACTTTTGTGTATTATATACGTTTTTCTTTCTTAAATACACATTTTCAAAGGTAAATCCCATATACCATTTGTTATTTGATTAATTAAACTTCCTGTGCTGTGCCCGAGTTACACAGTATTCTCATTTTTTTATTTGACAAAGTATTTCATTTGAATCTATTTCCGTGTTTAATACAAGTACATTATTAGTTGGACATCTTAATAGAATTACAGTTCACAGAAGCAGAGTTTATTGGTAAATAATTTGTCTTGGCTTAACATTGGTTTAGGTTCGTAGTTGTAAGTTTATTCCTTTACAAGGAAACTATAACTTGTTATATTTAAGTAAGCACATTTTTATTGGCTGTAATTATAGTGGGTATCAGAAACCACTGGTTTGAGTTGTGAGGTGGTTATTACAATAAGTTTCACATTAAAGTCTTTGTGGTTTTCCAGGATTATAAAAATGCCCAGAAAGAACAAGAGGTCTCAGTCTGCAAAGACCAGATGGCATAAGCTCACGGAGTCTGGCTCAGGTGAACAGGTTGATGTTCCTCAGACAACTGGAGATGCATATGCTGATGTTTTGAGAGGACTTCAGAGTCACATCGTACCTGATCCACATCAAGTACATCACAGTGCTGCAGCTGGACCATGTCAACCTAGTGAGCAGGCTAATGTTCACAGTCCTGATGTCCGACAAACTCCTGGAACTAGACCCTCCTATGCTGATGCTTTGAGAGGACACCAGAGTCATGTCATGAACTCAGAGGCTGCTACGTGTCAGGTAAATCAGAGTGATGCTGCTGGACCATCTCAGATACCTGCCCATGTCCATCCACCTTCAGGGACAAGTGTGTGTGCGACCAGGAGTCAGGCTTCAGCTGTTTATGGTGAGTACAGAAACAAGCAGTGTGCCCCAAACTCTTTGGTGTTTTTATCCTTCCTACATGAGAGTGAGACAATTACCAGCTCAGATCTGAACCTGGTGTTGGATAAAGGTAATGTGATGTACGCACAAGCTAGGCTACTTCATCCAACTAGTGTACACCTGGCTACAGACGAGTTACCTGCTGAGGTTACAGCTCGTATGACTCATTATCACATCACCATGAGGTTAACTGGTACCAGATATGGGAATTTTTTAGAAGGAGGTAATCTTCCTAGTCTTGTTCAAGGACTAAGCTGTTTGACTGCAGAAGTTCAGTATGCATTAATGTTCATGGGAGGAAACTGCATAGCTGTATTCAGAACCAGATCAGGAGAATACGGGTACTTTGATCCTCACCCCCGTTCTGCTCGTGGTCTTCTTCCCAAATGTAAACCTGGTACAGCTGTCATGTTAAAGTTCACACGTTTAACAGACATGATTAACAGAATCACTCATTTATACACATCTATTGGTGTATCTGGGTCTTGCTATTATGAAATCCAGTCAGTGGAGTTTAAGAGTGAGAACGCTGCTCCAGACAGAGACTCAACTGCTGCTGAGACCAACTCGCTGACAGAGATCGAACTAGTGGCAACAACTAAGCAAACTGGTAATCAACAAGTTACATCAAACACCCAAGAGTCTACTCCAGATGAGTCAGACCTGGCAGGTGAAGTGATGAACCACGCTGGTCCCTCTGTTTGCTCTGACACCCTGATGACATCATCTGAGCCAGAAGCTGCTTGTGAAGCAAGTGCTACTGTAGATCAAACTGCTGATTCATTAACTCAGAGAATGTTATCAAAACGTAATAAACAAGAACAATTAAAAATCTTGCGGCGATTATCTGTGTCAAAGAAGCCATCACAGAGAAAGGAAAATCAGAAAAAGAGAGAAAGGCAGTTGTATGCTACTGACGAAAGGTTTTATTCTAAAAAGAAAATGTATTCCAGGACATATGCTAACAGTTCAGATGTCAGACATGAAAAAAGTCTCTACAATAAGAATCTGTATAAGAAAAACACCAGTTATCAAGCGAAACAACAACACAATATCAGGAAGCTTTACAGAGAAATGGCTGACTACAGAGAAAAGCAAAAATCATACATGAGAAGCCTTTACAGACGATGTGAACAGGTTAGACAGAACAAGAAATCTTACATGCAAAGCCTTTACAAAGAAAGTGAACAAGTTCGACAGAAAAAGAAATCTTACATGCAAAGTCTTTACAGGGAAAGTGAACAAGTTCGACAGAAAAAGAAATCTTACATGCAAAGTCTTTACAGGGAAAGTGAGCAAGTTCGACAGAAAAAGAAATCTTACATGCAAAGCCTTTACAGGGAAAGTGAGCAAGTTCGACAGAACAAGAAATCTTACATGCAAAGCCTTTACAGGGAAAGTGAACAAGTTCGACAGAAAAAGAAATCATTCATTAAAGAGCGTTATGCATCTGATCTATCATTCCGGCTCAGACACAGAGAACTGATGAAACAGCTGATGAGAGACTATTACAATAACAATGATCTCTTTAGAAGGAGTCATAATTCTAGACGTTCTTCGAAAATAAAAAGAAAATACAGACGGATAAATTTACATATGCAGAGGTCAGGAGGTGAAACACAAAGTAGAGTGACCAACCAACCATTATCTGTTTGTGAGCCAGAGAACCCACAGATGAATGAAGCTATAGCTGTTTTCAGATCAAATATTAAATCTGGACCTACTTATGTGTGCACGTCGTGTGAGAAAGCTTCGTTCCGTAACCAGGTGAAAGTCTGCAACAGGTCAAATTATACAAAGTATCCATCTGTAGTTGCACAATGTCTGACTGGAAAGTTTCTACACATCTGTGGTGAAAGTTGTAATGAACCATGTTCTGTTCCTTTGGAGAGGAAGCATGAATGGATCTGCCACACGTGTCATGACTACATTAGAAAGGGCTCCATCCCACGCCTGTCTGTTGCAAACCAAATGGGTCTGTCAGAGATTCCACAGGAGTTAAAAGATCTGAACATCTTGGAACGACATCTGATTTCTAAATCTATTCCTTTTGCTAAAATTGTTCCACTCCCAAAAGGCCGTCAGAGACAGATAAGAGGTAATTTGGTGTGTGTTCCATCAGAAGTCCAAGAAACAGTGGATGCTTTACCCCGACTGAGAAGTGAATCTCAAGTGATGAGGGTCAAATTAAAGAGGAAGCTGTGTTATAAAGGCCATCAGCTATTCCAGACTGTAACCTGGTCTAAACTCATGCACGCTCTGCTCACATTAAAACAGATTCACCCACAGTATGCAGACATAACCATCAGAGACGATCCTCTGCTATGTGATCCAACAGGTGACAGCAGTGATGATGATGATAGCAGCATGGACTGTGGTGATTATGATGAAGATGACCTAATGCAGATTGATAACTTTGAGCAAAATGCAGTGACTGAAGCAGCAGGTGATGAGGAATCTGAACAGGTCATGACTTCTGATGACGATGAGCAGAACGTACAGAATGAAGCAGAATCCCAACAGAATGATGAAGGACAAGACTCAGATCTACCTAATGGAGGTTTTGCTCTAGAATCGTGCCTTCAGCCTCTAGACATTGCAGAGGAGATCCTGTGTTACAGTGACAGCACGTATTGTGTTGCACCCGCAGAAAGAAACAGTCCAGTCAGCTTCTTCAGGACACCCAAACTGGAGGCCATGGCTTTTCCTGTTCAGTTCCCTACTGGTCAGAACACTCTGGATGAACCGAGGCGTATTAAAGTCACACCCAGCTCTTATTTCAAGTCCAGATTGTTTCACATTGATGACAGATTTGCGAGAGACCCCAACTACTTGTTTTTTGCACAGTTTGTGACTGAGATCCACCTGGCTAACTCCAACATGATCATACAGCTGAGGAAAGGTAAAACTATGAGCAGAGATGGGCGGAGAATAACTTCTTCTATGTTACAGAATAAACATGAGGTTCAGAGACTGGTGAGAAATAAAGATGCAGTCAGATTTATGCAAACTCTGAGAGGAACACCAGCATACTGGCAGAAAACCACTAAAGATCTGTTTGCCATGATCAGACAGCTGGGAACTCCAACGTTCTTTTGCACCTTCGGTGCTGCTGAGATGAGGTGGAGGGAAATCATCACAGCTATAAAGAAGCAGCAAGGTGAACAGGTTGATTTTGAAAGTCTTGACTGGTCCTCAAAATGTGAAATCTTGAGATCTAATCCAGTTACAACCATGAGGATGTTTGACAAACGTGTGGAAGCTCTGTTCAGAGACCTGCTCATGTCCCCTGCTCAGCCGCTTGGTGAGATTGTCGACTTCTTCTACAGAGTTGAGTTCCAGCACAGAGGAAGTCCTCATATACACATGATGCTCTGGGTTCGTGGTGCTCCTGAATGTGACAAAGATTCTGATCAAGCCGTCTGTGATTTTGTAGACAGATACATCTCAGCACAGCTGCCTGACCCAGAAACACAACCAGAACTCCACAAGAAAGTCACAGAAGTTCAGAAACACAGCAGGAACCACACCAGGACCTGTTTTAAGACCATGAACTCTGGCTGTAGATTTGGGTTCCCTAAACCACCCTGCAGGAGAACAATGATTAGCAGAACCGATGAGGAACATGACCAAGCTACTGCTAAACAGAAACTCAGAACTTTGGTGAGTCTGCTCAATGAACCAGAAGCTGCATCACTGACTTTAGACCAGATTCTGTCTCGATGCACTTTAACCATGAGTGAGTATGAAGAATGCATCCAGTCCATGAACAGAAAGACGGCCCTGATCCTGAAGCGAGATGCAAAAGACAGCTGGATTAACAACTACAATCCACATCTGCTAGAGGCCTGGGACTGTAACATCGACGTGTCTTTTATCCTGAATGCATATTCATGTGTGGAGTATCTGACCAAATACATCACAAAGAAGGAAAGTGGGCTTTCTGACTATCTGTCTACAGTGATCAGTAGCTCTAACATGGATGGAGTCAATGAGTGTGAGGAGATGAAAGCAGTCATGCAGGCTTATTCTAAGAAAAGAGAGATCAGTGCTCAGGAGTGTGTGACTCGTGCTTGTGGTCTTAAGATGAAAAAATGTTCACGCAGCATTGTTTTTGTCCCCACTGATGACAACCCAGTGAAAATGAGCCGTCCCATGTCTTTCCTGGAGAACACGACACCAGACAGCTGCAACATCTGGATGACAAGTCTGAATGACAAATACAAATCCAGACCTGAGACTCCAGAGTACGAGGAAATGTGTTTAGCTGATTTTGCAGCAACATGCAGGTTTGTAAGTGAAAAAGAAAGTGTGCGCAAAGATGTCCTCCCTCTCCTCAACCAGCTGGGATTTGTGCAAAGGCGTCAGAATAATAAGCCTTGTGTCATCAGGTTTTATCACTGCTCTAAAGAGAAACACCCAGAGGAGTTTTACGGAAGACTGCTGAGACTTTACCTTCCACACAGATCAGAGCAGGAACTGAAATCACGCCGATTACAAACTCATCAGTCCTACTACAAGTCCGGCTGGGTCCGACTACCAGGTTCAGAACATTCTGAGTTTGTCAAGGACATTGTCACCAGAAACCAGGACAAATATGAACGCAACAGTAAAGAGATCGAGTCTGCTCTTGAGGAATTTGAACGGGACAGAGGTGAAGGTTGTGATGAGTGGTCTAATCTTGCTCCAGAATCTGAAGTTGTGAGACTGCAGTGCGATGACCAGCCAGAGGACCAACAGGAGGATGTTCCAGACTACTGTGCTCCACCTGCAGCAGAAGTCAGAGCTGTCAGAGAAACACCTGCCATCGATCCCACTGTGTTGCGTCAGATGTACCAGAATCTAAACCAGAAGCAGGCCTGTGTGTTCTATGCAGTCAGAGACTGGTGTATTAAACGTGTGTGCGGCCTCAATCCAGATCCATTCTTTTTCTTTTTGGAGGGAGGTGCTGGTACTGGCAAATCCATGGTTGTCAGATGCATTCACTCTGAAGCATCCAAGATTCTGAGCAGACTGCCTGCCGAGGATGTTGACCTTTCAAACCCAACTGTTCTGCTGACGTCATTCACGGGAACTGCTGCGTTTAACATCGGTGGCACCACACTGCACTCGCTCCTCAAACTACCCAGAAGCCTGAAACCTCCCATTCAAGGACTTGGTAACCAGCTAGATGAAGTCAGGTGTGAACTTCTGAATGCAGAAATCCTTGTTATCGATGAGATTTCCATGGTTTCAAAGCCTCTGTTTGCCTACGTGGACGCTAGACTGAAACAGATTAAAGGAAACCAGAGACCATTTGGTGGAATGTCAGTTTTAGCTGTTGGAGATTTTTATCAGCTACCACCAGTTCGACAGTCTAAGCCCCTCTGTGTCTATGACCCATCAGACATTGACCTTTGGCAGCCATATTTTCAGATGGCAAGTCTGACTGAAATCATGCGGCAGAAAGATGATGTTGCCTTTGCAGAGATGCTGAACAGGATCAGAGTGAAGGAAAAGACAGATGAGCTCTCTCCAGCAGACAGAGATATGCTATCACGCACCATCACTGAACCAGAACTCTGTCCCTCTGATGTGCTGCACATTTTTGCCACCAACAAGGATGTGGAAGCTCATAACTCAGCAACACTGGAACGGCTGCACGATAACATCATCACAATAGATGCAGATGACTTCCAGAAAGACCCACGAACTGGCAGAATGGAGAGGAAAGACACACCTTTGAAAGGAGGAAGAGGTGAATTGTCTGACTGTCTGAAAGTGGCTGAAGGAGCTCGAGTCATGCTGACGAGAAACATCAATGTCCAGGATGGCCTGGTTAACGGTGCTTTTGGTAAACTGGTTAGAGTGATAGCTTCTGAAATAGACCCCCAGCACATTTTTAAACTTGCTCTGAGAATGGATAACCAGTCATCTGTCAGGAGCAACCGCCATGGAGCTTCTGGGTCTGATGATCTTGTTTACATCGAGAGAGCAGAGGACAGCCTGAAGCAGAGAGGAGGTGTACGCAGACAGTTTCCTGTAAGACTGGCTTTTTCCTGCACCACTCACAAAACTCAGGGTCTCACGACACATGCAGCTGTGGTCTCACTGAAGAACATCTTTGAACCTGGAATGGCATACGTGGCTCTGAGTAGGGTGACTAGCCTCGGTGGACTGTATCTCCTGGGTTTGGATGAGAGAAAGATCTACGCCAATCCTGATGTGACTGCAGCACTCCAGAGCATGAGACAGGCCAGTGTGGATCAAATGATGCCTCTTCTTCTGGTGAGAGAAGCAGTAAGCAGACCTGACACTTTGACCCTAATTCACCACAACACAGAGGGTTTACCGGCTCACATCAATGACATAACGAGTCACCACGAACTGTCTTTAGCAGATGTGTTGTGTCTGACAGAAACACACCTGCAAGGTTCTTTTGTTGCAGAAAGTCTTGTTCTGGATGGCTACACCATGTTCAAACGCAGCAGACACCAGTCCTACACCAAGTTTCCTCAGATGGCCTGCAAGAGTGGTGGTGGAGTTGCTGTTTATGTGAAAAACCACATTCACGTCCGTGAGAAACGCTATGTGCACAATGTGACTGATCTGGAGTTTTTGGTTTTGAAGGTTGAGACACCGTTTCCAGCTCTGATTGCAGTCATTTACCGACCTCCAGACTACATCATGAGACCATTCATGGAGAACTTGGTAAGCCTTTTAGACTCTCTAGAGGTCATGGACTGTCATCCAGTCATTGTATGTGGCGACTTTAATGAGAATCAGTTTTCAGGTGGAAGGAAGCAGATTGTAGAGCACTTTCAGTCCAGGGGGTATGCACAGATGATCACTTCCGCCACCACAGACAAGAACACACTGCTTGACCTTGTTTTTATCTCTCAGCCCCAGAGGAGCTTACATTGTGGTGTCCTGAGAACCTATTATAGTTACCATGACCCGGTTTTCTGTGTGTTGTCCTCTAGCCAACCATGAAGTGAGGTGAGTTTTAATCATGGACAAGTGGAGTGACGTGTTAATGCAGAATAATGTTTTATTTTGAAAGTTTGATGATTTAACAGGATTGAATCAAATCTTTTCTAGTATAAAGTCTGTCTGAAATGAGAATCATGAAGTTTCACTTTGCTTTTAGCCTATATTTATAATCACAGTTTAAAGCATAAGTTATTGGATGACAGGTCATAATTATGGAACATGACAATGCATTTTTCTGATTGTTCTAAATATTGTAAATCACTACGTTGTTCATGTAATTACATTTTCTACCTTTTTATTACTATGGATTCATGTTTTCTACTACAAACAATTTTATTCAGAACATTTTTACAGATAAAATCTATATGAAAACTGATTTAGACAATGGCGGTCTGTGCATTTACCTGGGTGGGTGGGTTAAGGGAGGGTAAATGCACAGGTCCGACCATTGACTGCATAAAACCAGCCGGCACCCCACTAAATAGGGGGAAGGGGTGGTTGGGTGGGGGTAAATTTTCTTTTTTTGTTAGGTTTTTGGAAGATTTATCTCACACAGGAGACATGTTCTCCTGTATCCTTTGATAAAACACCTTCAAGCTTCTTCAACATCAGCACAACCCAAAACATCTCAGCATCAGCTTCATGAACTGATGAGTCAAACCTGCACCGCCATTGCTGGACCACACAGGGACATCACAAAGACTGCTGTTCCACGAGCTCTCATCCCACAGGATACAGCTCCTGTCAACCACCACCTGACCTTCTGGCTCTAAGAGCTTCACCTTGCTGCTGCCACTCTCTACACCCGCTGTTCTGAACCATCAAAGACATCTCTGCCTCCTGCCAGGGTCCAGGATCATCTCAGATGATGGAAGGTGTCAAATCTTTCCTGTTAATAATGTTATTAAATGCTAAATATTTCCTTCATGATGTTTAATGAAGTAGAAAAAATGTGTTCTCCAGTTTCAGGTGTATGAATGTTAATTATTGTCTATTTGCAGGTTTCTTCTGCCTTCATGTTACATCTGAGAGCACTGAACCAACTGAAACATTTATCAACACTCAGTGACATCTGGGTGTGGGACAGACCTGGTCAGGAGATGTTTATTTTCTTTTGCAGGACTCTAAGGTATTTGATAACATTTGATCATTAGTTTCATATGTTGGTGCTTTAACACTAATGTAATATTTTATTTCTCTGTATTGTTGGTACAGTCTCTTCCTTGATGCCTGCATATCCTCCTCTGAGATTCCTCTGTGTCACCGTCTGACCTCGTCTGACTCTGGTTGCTGCAGAGATGCTGTTCATACTCATTTCCTACTTCACTTTTGCAGCATCATGTCTACCTCATGAGGCATAAAGGTAACAAATCAACATTTTTACCTCCTTGGTTTAAAACACATTTCTATTTGAGTAACAAACGTGTTCTCTGTGTTCTTGTCTTAAATGCCTGTAGCTGAACGTCCTGTGCTACAGCAGCAAACACTGAAGCCGCAGGTTGTTGCACCAATAAACATCCACTCTGGCATGATCACACTAACATCTTAACACGGACACTCATTCAGCTGACGGTTTCCATCAGCAGATCCAGGAAACAGGAAAATGTCCCATATGATCAAACTGGAACTCAGCACTCATTTCAAGGCTGTCTCCACTTTATTTTGTCACCTGTCAGTTAAATGAACCATTTATCTATAATATGTATCTGATACATTATAGTTTTCATTTGCTTTAGTTTCTCCTCTCTGTTATTATTGTTAAAGGATAATGTAGAACTACAATGATGGAGGTAGCCCTGTGACAGGCTAACCCAGTGTTAACACTGACCAGTAGGCGGGTTTAGGCAAGGCAAGACTCACACAAACATATCATATGGTCACCTGCATCAGTGTCAGGTGCTGTCTGATCCAAACCCAGCAATCTTGTAAATATAGAACATCCCTACTTTAATACTTTATGTACTGAAATTGTTAAATTCCAAACAAGTAAAAATGAGTAAGCAGCTCCACTTTCTATCTGCTCTGTGCTTGAGTGAGTCCTGTCTGGGTGTGGGGTGTCGGCTGATATGTAGGTATAGGACAGGTGTTCCACATATGTGCTGTGACACCAGGTAAACTCATACAACACACCTCAGTGTTGAGATGGGAGTCAAACTGAAAGTATTCAAAGATGAACCGGTCATATCTAGTGAAGTGGGGGCTTTTTGATAAAAAATCTGACCTCAGGTCATACAGGTGACCAGGATTCTAAGATACATTAAACCAAACATCCCAAATTTAGGTATTTATCATGATTTTGATCTGTTTTAAACTCATTTTAAAGAACAGCTGTGGTATCAGAACACATTGTGTAAATATTTTAGCTTAAGGTTAACCATTAAGGTTTAACTAAACCATTTTTCACTTTTACATTTACAAGTTTTATAGAATACATTTTATTTTATTTATTTAACTAGTTCTCTGACTCACTAACTGCAACCAAAGCCCTGACATGTTCTCCTCTTTCCCCAAAAAATCTGAACTAGGGAGCATTTATAAAACTATGACAAACAAACAATCCTAATTCATGAATTACTGACCAATTTATTAACTCAGTTGACAGTATTTAAGATAATACTGAATTGTGCACACACACACACACACACACACACACACACACACACACACACACACACAAACATTAAGTGGAATGTTACCCTACGTACAGTGTGCTGCATTCACCTTTATAGTTTTTAGTTTCCAAGTCAGAATAATGTTTAAGTTTTCTTTTTTGTGTTGGATGTCAGTGAGCTCATGCCTTCATCATAAATATACTTTGTTCTTAAAATAGTTTGAGTTAAAAAAACAAATGTTGTGTTCAGCTTAAAGCATGTCTCCACAGTACAAACAGGTGCCGTTGTCATAGTTAAATTATAATCATAATGATTATAATTTAAGGATGGTTGGTACAAGCTTCCATATCTGTAATTTTATAGTCTTTTTTATAACTGACTTTTCTTTTAATCATTTTGACCTCTGAGTTTTGTGTTTTAAGTCCTTCTTATTAGTGAAACCTTCTTTCAAACATTCATTTTCTAAAACATTTTTTTTCATTATTTTAACAAGGTTTTAAAATGTGCATTAGTGTTAAATGCTATAAGCTTTTGTCATTTTTTTCTTTAAATTCACTTGAAATTCTTTTAATTTGAAAACATGAAATTATTTTAATTATTTTTCTCATATTTTAAAAAAATTACTTGATTGATTTTATAAATTGTAATAATTAAATTTTCAATATTTTTTGTTCTTTTACTGTATTTTTTTAAATTTTTTATTATGCTGTCCTACAACTTTAACGTTTAAATAAATATGCTATTAGAATTTGCCGTGAATTATATTAACATTTTACTTCTAAACTAACCTGTTTTAACTCAAATTTTCTGTATTTCAATAAAAAAAATTTAACTTAAAAACATTAAATACTTCCTGGATTTATCACAATTTCTTTCTGGTCCACTCACTTTTATTTTTGATTAGTTGAGAGAAATTTAACAATTTAGAGATTTCAAGTCTGTTTCATTACGTTTTATACTGTTTTAAACTATGTGAAGCAATTTTTGATTCTATGTCTATGCTAAGTGCTTTATAAATAAACTGTACATCTATTGTGACCATTTTACTGATTTTCATTTTTTGTTGTTGCATCCTTTTTATATATATATTTTTTAAACTAGTCCTACTCAAATAACAGATATTTAAACATTTCAGCTGTCCAGTTTTTAAAATAGAGTTCAGTCATTTAAATTTGCTACTGTTTAGGATTTTTTTCTCCAGTCTTCACCTACTTTTTCGACTTCATTACACTTGTTCATTATTTTTCATTCTAAATCGTTAAATACATTCAGCTCCTTTTGACAGTTTTGCTTAGATTCAGCTTCAATTGAGCTATTCAGCAACTTCTGCAATTAGTTTCTGAATTCAGCATATGATGCTAATTTCACAGTTCAGCTAAATGTAAAAATCAAACTGTTAAACTAGTCCTACTGAAATAGACATTTTAGATGTCCAATTTTTTTAAACAGTGTTCACAGATTTGAGTTTTCTGCTATTTAGGATTAGGTTTCTTGATTCTTCACTTACTTTTTGTGCTTTTTTTGCTTCTTTGTGCTTTTTGCTCTCACATCTTTCACTACATTCAGCTCATTTGACAGTTTAGCTTAGTTTCAGCTTCAGCTATTCAACAACTTCAGCAATCAGTTACCAAATTTAGCATAAACAGCTAATTTCAGAGTTCAGCTAAATGTAAAGATTAAACTTTTAACCTTGTCCAATTGAAATAACAGGTGTTTAGACATTTAAGCTGTCCAGATTTTTATACAATGTTCACAGATTTAAGTTTTTTGCTATTTAGCATTATTTTTCTCTATTCTTCAATTACTTTTTGTGCTTTATCTGCTTGTTGGTGCTTTGCTTCTACATCTTTCAAGACATTCAGCTCATTTTGACAGTTTTGCTTCGTTTCAGCTTCAGTTAAGCTGTTCAGCAGCTTCAGCTCAGCTGTTCAGCAGCTTCGGCTTACAGTTTCAGCTATCCAGCATTCAAACAGCATTTGTGCAATAAATGCAATTTTTCTAGTTGTTTGAATGCTGTTAAGCATTCAAACTATTGTTTTCCTGTTTCTCTTTATTGTTTGAATGCTGTTAAGCATTCAAACTATTGTTTTCCTGTTTCTCTTTATTCTTCTTCTTATTCTGCTTCCGTACACTTTTTGAACCGCTTCTTCTCCTTCAAATTTTGAGCTATTTCAACAATTTTATACCAAAACGTTCAGCTCGTTAAGCTCTTTCCGGCTATTACTTTTGGCATTGATATCTTTAAAATTTTTCGAGTTATTAAGCTTTTTCTGCAAAAATTTTCCCATTGAAATGAATGGGATTGGTCAATTTTCAGCAAATTCCTATCACTTTTTTGACCTAAAACTCTACTGGGTTCCTTTTAACTCAGAGACTTCATTCAAAGTTTAACAAACTCACAAGACTTTCCTGTTTAACACATTAAAGAGGCTTTTTGATATCTTTTACGGTTTTTCTAAAATCGCAGGTAGAAGTTGAGGTACGACTTGAAATTTTCAGAAAAATTCACAAAAGTTATAATGGGGAAAGATAGGAGCAGTGACCCTCCCTTGCTCCATTTCTGGCATTGTAGCAAGAGAACCGTAGGTCCGATTGAAATGAAACACACACTGGCTTACAGCTAACAAAAATACCTTCGTTTTGAGCTATAATCCATGACTGTACTCCAAACATTGTGGTCGTACGGTTAACTTGTTTGAAAAAATTCAAATTTAAAAAAATGTCTCTCCCCACTGTAAACTGAAGATTCCGCACTCTAACTTTTGAACTTCACATCTTCTGTGAACAACTCTTTACTACCCCCAGACCGTTTGGACTACCAAAACAAATTATAACTCAAAAAGTAGGAATTTTTGTCAGCTTTTCAGAATGGGTTTCATTTTCTCTGTAGGTGTTACCGTTCTTTAGCTACAAGCCTCAGAAGGAGGAGAGACCCAGATTATGTCTCATTGAAACCCATGTTAAAGGAAGAGAGATTTTCTCCTGAGATCGGCTTCACACAGCTAAAAGTTTTTCGTCATAGCTTCTAGATAATTCATGGTAGGCACATACAAATCGGCACAGATGATCATCAAAGTCTTCTGCCACTCACGCTTTTTGAATTTTTCAAATCGGTGCAGTACTTTTCGAATGGTAATGAGAAGTTTGACAGGTCCAATTTCACTTCTGAAGGACAGATTTTAAGGCTTCTCTCATTAACAGGAGTACAGCTGCAGGCCTCCAACAGCCAAGGGGAAAAGGCGGGAAAACAGTGCTGCTCTCTGATTGGTTGAGAGTGTTCAACCATTTTCTGTCCAATCAGGATCCAGCACCCACACAAATGACACATCAAATCGACCAGTTTGGTCTCAGGAATCTTGTATTCAATTTTAAATGCGTTATCTGTTACCATGGCAACACAAGAAGCTACATATCACTTTAATCAAGTCTCATAGGAATGAATATTAAAAAGCTGAATGTTGAGCCAAAAACAGACTCCTGTTTTTGATCTTTTTGAACCATTTGTACTTCAAACTAGAAACATGTTCAATTTGATTGACCGTCAGAAGGTGGGAAAGTGCCCCGCTCCCTCCCAGCTCCCTGATTGGTTGAGAGAGGTCAATCATCTTCCGGCTAAATGGAATTACACACCCACGCATGTGAGGCATCAAATCGATCGGCTAGGCCTAAGGAATCCATCCATCCAACCAACCAACCAACCAACCATCCATCCATCCATCCATCCATCCATCCATCCAGCCAACCAACCATCCATCCATCCATCCATCCAACCAACCATCCATCCATCCGTCCTATCCCTGCATCCATCCATCCATCCATCCATCCATCCAACCAACCAACCAACCATCCATCCATCCATCCAACCGACCAACAGACCAACCATCCATTCATCCATCCATCCATCCTTCAATCCCTCCATCCCTCCATCCATCCAAGCAACCAACCAACTAACCAACAGACCAACCATCCATCCATCCATCCATCCATCCATCCATCCAACCAACCAACCATCCATCCATCCATCCATCCATCCAACCAACCAACCAACCAACCAACCATCCAACCATCCATCCATCCATCCAACAGACCAACCATCCATCCATCCATCCCATCCATCCATTCATCCATCCATCCATCCAACCAACCAACCAACCAACCAACCAACCATCCAACCATCCATCCATCCATCCAACCGACCAACAGACCAACCATCCATCCATCCATCCATCATTCCATCCAACCAACCAACCATCCAACCATCCATCCAACCAACCAACCAACCCCATACACTTAAAACTAAAGTAGCAGCATAGCTGACATTTTAACGCTAGTCAGCTCATTTGAACAGTTTTGCTTAGTTTCAGCTTCAGCAATTAGTTTCTGAATTCAGCATATGATGCTTATTTCACAGTTCAGCTAAATGTAAAAATTAAACTGTTAAACTAGTCCTACTGAAATAACAGGTGTTTAGACATTTTAGCTGTCCAATTTTTTAAACAGTTTTCACAGATTTGTTTTCTGCTATTTAGGATTAGTTTTCTTGATTCTTCACTTACTTTTTGTGCTTTTTTTTTTTGCTTCTTTGTGCTTTTTGCTTTCACATCTTTCACTGTGTTCAGCTCATTTAACAGTTTAGCTTAGTTTCAGCTTACTTCAGCTATTCAACAACTTCAGAAATCCGTTTCTGAATTCGGCTTATGCTACTCATTTCACAGTTCAACTAAATATAAAAATTAAACTGTTAAACTAGTCCTACTCAAACAACAAGTGTTTAGACCTTTTTGCTGTCCAGATTTTTAAATAATGTTCAGATTTCAGTTTTCTGCTGTTTAGGATTGATTTGTCCGGTCTTCACTTTTTGTGCTTTATTTACATTTTGGTGCTTTTTGCTTCTAAATCTTTCAAAACATTCAGCTCATTTTAACAGTTTTGCTTAGTTTCAGCTTCAGCAATTAGTTTCTGAATTCAGCATTTGATGCTAATTTCACAGTTCAGCTAAATGTAAAAATTAAACTGTTGAACTAGTCCTACTAAAATAACAGGTGTTTAGACATTTTACCTGTCCAATTTTTTTAGACAGTGTTCACAGATTTGAGTTTTCTGCTATTTAGAATTAGTTTTCTTGATTCTTCACTTACTTTTTGTGCTTTTTTGCTTCTTTGTGCTTTTTGCTTTCACATCTTTCACTACATTCAGCTCATTTAACAGTTTAGCTTAGTTTCAGCTTACTTCAGCTATTCAACAACTTCAGCAATCCGTTTCTGAATTCGGCTTATGCTACTCATTTCACAGTTCAACTAAAAATGAAACTGTTAAACTAGTCCTACTCAAACAACAAGTGTTTAGACCTTTTTGCTGTCCAGATTTTTAAATAATGTTCAGATTTCAGTTTTCTGCTGTTAAGGATTGATTTGTCCGGTCTTCACTTTTTGTGCTTTATTTACATTTTGGTGCTTTTTGCTTCTAAATCTTTCAAAACATTCAGCTCATTTTAACAGTTTTGCTTAGTTTCAGCTTCAGCAATTAGTTTCTGAATTCAGCATTTGATGCTAATTTCACAGTTCAGCTAAATGTAAAAATTAAACCGTTGAACTAGTCCTACTAAAATAACAGGTGTTTAGACATTTTACCTGTCCAATTTTTTTAGACAGTGTTCACAGATTTGAGTTTTCTGCTATTTAGAATTAGTTTTCTTGATTCTTCACTTACTTTTTGTGCTTTTTTGCTTCTTTGTGCTTTTTGCTTTCACATATTTCACTACATTCAGCTCATTTAACAGTTTAGCTTAGTTTCAGCTTACTTCAGCTATTCAACAACTTCAGCAATCAGTTACCAAATTTAGCATATACTGCTAATTTCACAGTTCAGCTAAATGTAAAAATTAAACTGTTAAACTAGTCCTACTGAAATAACAGGTGTTTACACATTTTAGCTGTCCAATTTTTTTAAACAGTGTTCACAGATTTGAGTTTTCTGCTATTTAGGATTAGTTTTCTTGATTCTTCACTTACTTTTTGTGCTTTTTTGCTTCTTTGTGCTTTTT